ACACATTTCAATTAATTCCAATCGTTGTAAAATAATGCTATAAGTGATGTATGAATGATAGAAAATAGAGGCTATATGTTATTTAGTGAATTTTCTGAAGAATTAGAGGTTTTCAAATGTCAGAAATTTCAAACTGTCCTCAATCATTAATTATACTAAAATGCTTTTTTGCGTGAAATTCCTTAAAATTCTCCGAAATACATCGAAAGTATTAAATTGTTTTTTGTCATTGTCGCCATTACATTTAATACAAATTTTAGAGTAATATGTGACTTAATGAAAGTATTATTATTATGTTACCTTTAAAATAATCAAAATAAATGAATGAATTGAAATCAATAACATAATCAAAATAAATGAAGGAATTATCAATTATCCATAAGTGTAATGATAATTACCTATTATCAATTAATTCTTATTACATATTCAACAATCAGTACTGATGAAAATTAAATTTGAAAAGTAATTAGTACCCGATTAAAATTTGAAAATGATGAAAATTTGAAAATTAAAAATCTAAAAAATTTCAAACATTCCTTTAATTTTTCAATGGCTGAAGTTAAAGTGGAAAGTGGTGATTTTATGGCTCAATAGTTAAGTTTAGTTAAGTTTTGTTAGTAAGTTAGTATTGCTAACAGCCTTTATAATGTTAAAATATAATAACTAACAAAATATAATTGTTATAAATCAAAGAAAGAATCAGACTTATTAACTTACCAACTAAACTAAACCTAACTTTTTAGCCATAACATTAATTTAATTATCAAGCAAAAGTACTTCTGACAAATTTAATTGAAATAAATCGAAAGTTGGCGTCATTTTAAAATGTTAACATAATGGGAAGAAATCAAAAAGCTAACTTTGAGACATAAGAGTGAATTAATATAAAGATTAAAAGCTATAAAATGTGGCTTGAAGAGAATTGAAAACTTTTTTCTACACTCTGTATAATTCCTCAATTTAGATGATAAAATAAGAAGTGAATATAATTCTTTTTTCAATTCAATAAGTTGTCAACAAAATTTTGAAGAATTCCATAGATTGAAAAATATTTTAAAAAATTTTACTATCTCATAGAATTCGGTTGTCAATAAGAAAAATGACTGTTAAAATTTTCAGCCATTTAATCGCTGAAACAAAATAAGCAATGAAAATAATATTTTAACACTTTTAGATAATTTTATCATTTGCAACTAAAAATTGGTAATTAAAAAAAGTTATTTTAATTGAATTATTTGTGAGAAAGACAATAAGTTAATCATTTGATAATTTTTAAAAGCAATACCTTTTTTTATAAATTATTATAGACTGAAAAATATTTTAAAAGTTTCATATCTCATAGATTTGTTCAAGAAGAGTTGAATAATTTTCCCTCACAAAATGTTAAATTATTCCTGACAAATATGAACGCAATTGATTATCCTAAAATCAATAAGTTCAATATAACTTGCTTATTGATTAATAATAGTTAAGACTTAATCCTGGACATGGTCTAATTTACTGCTTGATGATAATTTTAATTAAATACTGTCGAGTTGTTAAAACTAGTCCATTCAATGCATTTACTGATTAGTTAGACTATCAGTAATTAAAAATCTAATACTAAATGATAATAAGCTATATATATATATATAAGAGCATTAAATTCAAAAATGAAAAGAATATAAATGACTTTCTAATTAATTATCTTTCCTACAATATCAAAATTTGGGAAATTTTTTTGACTCCTGGATTAACTGAAAGAAAGTATTGATTAATAAAAAGGTACGTTCATTATTAATTTTTGAAATGTTGAAAGTTTCATATGAATTAAAATGTTAGTTTAATGAAAGCGGTGAAAGGAGGAGCGAATTGTGTTATGAAAATGAATTGGTTATAATGAGCCAATGAATAGCGAAAGTTTAGATCAAAATTAAATAGAAGAAATGAATTATGAACTAATTCATGAAATACTAAAATGTAAAGAGAAAAGGAACACATCGAAGAATATCCAAACATAACCAAAATTAAATTTTCAATTTTTTAAATTTTAAATAAAACAAAAAAAAAATCCCTTACCATTCAGTAATCGCGGGGGAAACTTTGAAATAGGGGATAAGAAATCCGCAAAATCACTAGTCATTTGTAAATTTCCAATTTTTCTCCAACTTTTAACATTTACCGCATTAACTACTCTAATCTTTTATTGCTTTTACCTTTTATTTTTCTATAACATACCTTTTATTGCTAAACGTATTGCTAACTTCAACGATATCTCAGAAATATTTTTTTAACATTAATATTTTAAATATTGACTGTAATAATAATGTAACGAGTAGCAATTAGTATTCATTCAAGTACTCAAATATTCAACTATTCAGTATTTAAATAATCGTTCAAGTATTCAAATATTCAACTATCCAGTATTTAAATATTCATTCAAATATTCAAATGTTCAACTATTCAGTGTTTAAGTATTCATTCCTAACAGAAAGAGCAAATATACGTTTTACCTCGAGCTTTTTATTAAAAGATAGGCTACAAAATGATGTTAAATCACTTATATCGCACTATAAATTCTACTGAGAAAATATTTTAGCTCAATTCATAAAATAAATTAAATAAATTATGAATTTTTTAAATTTTAGATAAAATAAAAAATTAATTTCTACCTTTTCAATCTCTAATTTCTTTTAATATCACATTAATAATTAAGAAAAAAAGATAGGAAGAGATAGACGGATATTTATTTATTTTTAATAATATTTTGAATAAATCATTTTTTTTTTGGAAGCAATTTTTTAATTTTGACAAAAAATTGATTGAAATTTAATTTTACAATCTTTTTAACAATTATTTGTTTTAAAATAATATTGAAATATTTTTCTTAAAATTTTTAACTTTTGTTGAAAGCATAAAATATGTGTTAGCTCCCTCATTAGCAAAAGTATTAACTAAAGTTGAAAAAGCGAGAGAGAGAAATAATAATTTGAAAATTAAAAATTTTCTTTAGGATTGGATAATAAAGACAAATTATCCTGAACAATATCATTAGGAATTCATTATCCTGAAAACATACCGATTATCCTAAATATATCATTCAAATTAACATTACTCTTTTCTTCTTTTTATAAACCTTAATGGAGAAATTATCTTTTAACAAACTATTATTCTTCTTCGATTGGATTCTATTTAAAGTTATATATGTAAATTTAACAAACAGTCAGTTAATAACAATTTCATGTGAAAATTAACTTCTATGTAATTTATTTAACTCTTTGAAATTATACTCTTAGCTTCAACTTTCTGCAATGTAATTAAGTTTAAATTGCTCAAACCTAGTTAAGACAAATTAATTAGCAAATTAAGTATACATTACATATTACTGTATACTTATTTAAAAAAAATAAAATTAATCAATTTAGGTTTAAATATTTTCTACTGATGCAAAGCAATTTATATTTTAAAACGAATTTTTGTCGATATGTGACCGATCAATCATCATCCATAAACATATGCAAAATAAGCATGCCAATGTACACATAGACAAATTATTAAAAAATTAAATTTTGCAAATGAACTTTACAGCTAACTTTATAATTGCAAATTTTAGTAGAGAGAAAAAAATTTAACGAAGAAATTTAGAGGACGAAGATGACATTATTTCAGAGTGAATGTATGAAGGCGGGGAGAGGATGCGGGAGAAGAGAATGTTAATTTATGTACTCCCAAAGAAAAAGAAAATTATCAATTAATTTTAATTTCAAGTGCAGCTATTAAAATTTTCCACAGTATCAATGGATAGGTTAAGCAATTGAAATTAGACTTATTATTGTTACTCTTTTATTTTTGCATAGCAAATTTTTTCATTTCTTATTGCAATTAGTTTTTATCTTTTGTTTTAGTCTAATATCATTGTTTTAAATAAATTGTTGAAAAATTTTTAGTTTTTTAAATTTGCATTCATTTGAATAAACATTTGAATAATTTTAAATTTTCGACAATTTTTAAAAAATACGCTGCAATTTTTTCTATATTTTTTTAAATACTACTGGCAACAAATGCATTGTGTTACTTTGATAGATTATGCTTTAATTTAAATTTTCAGAACGATTTTGAATATTAATGATAAGTAAGAAAAGTAACGTATCTTAGCATTTATCAATATCTGATGAATATTTTCTTACCCATCTTTCTAAATTTCATCTATATTAGTTCAACATCTCTCCGCTATATTAATACAAATATCGGTTATGTTCGGGGAAGAAAAGATTCGGTCATGAATTAGCATATTAAAACGATCATGAGAAGTATTTATTGAAATTCTAAACTATAACGTAGATTTTAAAAAAGAAATTTTTTTGATTAAAATAATTGAAATAGTTTTTTTGAATGATATAAATCATTAATACTTTAAAATCAGTAAAATAAAATTAATGCCTTGAATTATTCAATGAACATCTTTTGATTATAATTTTATTTAATTCATACTATTTTATATCATAATTACTATTTCTTTTTCATTTTCACGTAGTTTTTAAGTCTTTATATCTGTCTGATATGCTTATTTATATCCACCCGCTATGCTCTATATTTTTATATCCGCCTGATATGCTTATCATAATTATATTATTTTATTTTATGATTGCTTGCTATTCCATTTTCACGCAAAATTATGATTATCGATCATTATTAAGAGAATTTTTAGTTAATCAATTTGTTTACAAGAAACATAGAAGTTCTATGATAATCAAATTAACAGTTAACATGAATCGATGATGGCTTGAAATATTATTGTAAGTGATTCATAGATAAATTTTCTGCATAGAAGTTTAAAACGCTGAAATACCTACCGTATGAGTGAGAAAGAATTTGATTGATATTGGCAGCTACGTCACTACAACTTTTTTCCTCCTTTTTTTATTCGATAACGAATTTCTCTCTGATTTGATGAATTGCGTAAGTAATTTTATTTATTTAAATTAGCAAATTAAACCATTAATTATTGGAATTAGCATAATTTACAACAAAATGTAATGACTGCTAACATTGACATGACTAAAAATCCAATCATCCTTATCATTTAATGCATTCCAACATAAATGATAAGGCGCTTTACAACCATATATGCGCCATCTGCAAAAATAGAAACAATAAAACAATTTTATTTTATCTAAAAAGAAAAATGAGAATTGAAATGGAAAAATGATAAACTGAATTTTTATTGTTAATATATTATTAATAAATTTTTAAATTATTTAAAAACCATACAAAAAATGAATTAATTAAATATTCTTAATTAAATTAAATATAATTTTTTTTGAGATTTGAAAAACTTACTTAGATGTACATTTTTCAATTTGTTTTGAAAAAATTTTCCACAGAGGAATAAGATTTTCCTCTTTCCATGATACTTGTGATATGATTTCATGATATTGCTTATTTAGATGTGTAATGTATTGGTGAAAAATATTTGTTGGATAATAAATGGTATCATTGAGACTTGTAAATATCCAATTTGAACGTGCATGATATAATAAGCCATCAGTAATATTTATCTGAAATTAATGTTTAAATGAAAATAACGTTCAATTTCAATTTGTTACAAAATCACAAGTGAGAAAATATGTCATAGTATTTCATTATCAAATCAAATGGATATATTTCATAAAATATAAATTTGATAGAAAATTATATTCTTAAAAAAAATGTCAAAGGTCAATAGATCTATTTGATCATTCAATTATTTCAGCAATAATATATATGATGAATAAATTAAAAAGAAACCATACTTTAAATGATTTATATTGTTGAAAAAATTCGCGCACTTTATGAGTGACTAAAATTTCCACACGTTCAGGCATAAAAATGGTTTTTGACGGTCCTTCTTGAATTTGATATTCAGCATTTTTTAACCAATCAAAATCTAATTTTGATTGTTGCTTTAAGAGAAACCATCCTTGAAATCGAACTCGAGCATGTTCGAAAACGAAACTTCCAGCAATATCATTGAAATTATGCATTTTATTCAAAAATGGCACTAACGTTCCGGAACTAAAAAAAAGTTATTAGTATGTGTCATAGTTCATTAACAACAAATTATGGTATGAGAAAAAGTGAAATTGTTGCTAATTGCTAATTAACGTATACTTTGGAATAATAAATTCATCGGTGTCAACAAGTGCAACATATTTAGCCGATGAACTATACAAACAATCATTCATACTAAGTGTATGACCGAAACGATAGATCCATCGATTTGGATCAATCAATTTTGATCGTGGTAACATCTGCCAGCAAATTAATCGAATAATTCCCTGGAAAATACAATTTTTTAGTGAAATTGAAGAAATAAATTCGACAAACTTGTACTGCTAATTTCTTTCCGATAGAAAAATTTACATATGAACTGGGAAATCTTAGATATTTTCAAATTAAGCTAAAATGAAAGCTAAAGCTAGAGCTACTTAGTTAAAGCTTGCTAAAATTAAATTGGATGTTTCGGCGATCGGTCGCTATCATTTCGTAAATGTTTCTGCGAAATGAAATAGCGTAATAGTAATAATATATAAATAAATAAATAAATAAATAAATAAATAAATGATTAATAAATAATAATAAATAAAAACATCCAATCAGTTTTATCCGAAATTAATTTTATTATTTCATTTTATGTAATAGCATAACTTTTAACATTAACTTGCCATTTTTTCATAAATTTTTAAAATTTCCATTGTACGTCGATTAACCGATACGTAATAAATGTAAAACAATGTAGCACCTTGCTTTCTCCAAATCTTAAAATTACTATTGAAATTATAATATTGATTTTACAATCAAATAAAAATTTTCACTTTTTGAAAAAAAAATAAATATAAGAATATTTTTAAAGTTTGTAAATTTAAAATAGAATAAGAATTTGTTGAAGCAAAAACAATGCTATAATTTATTCCGGAATTTATAAATACAGGAATGAAAAGTTTGAGTTAATTTACTATATATACTAATTGTAAGTGAAATATGCGAATTAAATACCTCAATGAATTGTATAAATGCGACATAATTCCAGTACCAATAAAGTGGTGGTACACAAACATGTAAAATATTTTGTTGATAATTTCGAGGAACTGATTGCAATGGGATGATAACCAAACGATTTCTTTCAGTTACCATTATTTCTTTCTTAATTTATGAAAATATAATTAAACAAAAAAGTACTTTTAATTTTTGATTATCTGTTCATTTATTACGTCGCATATTATTACATAGCAAAGTTGGAATAAAGTTTTTTTTCTATTCTTTTCCAACCATATCATACGACATTGTTGTATTTTATTGAAGAATATTTTAAGCCAAATATGATTTATTTTATGAAAGATTTCTTCTTAACTATAACATATCGTTAGAGTTTAATTTATATTGAAATACTTCAACCTACGTAATTATTACTTATTAAATTTTTTATACGAAATATTTCTTATACGTTTCAGTAATTTATGTATTGTGATGAAACGTCAATGAATGCATGATAAAAGTATCATTGATATGATAATGATTACTTATTCAAAAATACTTACGGTATTGATGGAAAAATTGGTATCTTTCATATTGAAAATAAGCATAAAAGAGAACCATTTACATTCCGGTACCCATTTCCATGGGCAATCATATTCTATTGTAATATCTTTTGCTGATACACATTGCTGACGATAATGAATGATAATATTAATATCACGACATTGACTGAATGCCAAAATTCGAATTAACGGTTCTTTTTGTCGTAGATCCAGAAACGCTTTATAAATGAATAACGTATCATCTGTTACGCCATTCGTATAATTCATCACTAATGGAATCTTTCGTAAATCCAATTTTATAAATAAATGCCAATATAGCAATGAAAAAAATTCCTGGGCATAATTTGAAATCTGTCTAATGAATGATTGGATTCGATATAGTATCGCATAAGTTTTCATTATCAATCGTTGTTTATCTTTCTCAGAAATTTTTGTTGTGTTTTGAAGTATATCCTTTGACCTGGCATTTTGTGATAGCTTATCGTAAAATGATATTAGATGACGTGGAGTATACATTACATACGCGAATGTTATTAAAGTTGTTAAAATTAATGCAATTAAAAATAGCTGGCGTAATTTTTGATTAAATCCAAGTTTCATGTAAAATCTTTTTGTTGAAATAGTCCAAATCGTACTATCGATTGCAAAACGTCTGCGGAAATTTCGATATATCATTGATTAGAATTATTTCAAACACTGCGAAAATATGGCTACTTGTCGAAATGATTTGATCGTTATTCACTGAAGAGCTTCAGAATTTAATTCTATCGCATATCTGATAAATTTGCATAAAGTATCAGAAAATTATTATATACACAAATTAACATTTATTACAGTATTTTAATTAAATTTAAAATGAATTATACATACGAATTAGCAACAATTGAATCAACAAATAGATGAAAGAAATTTCTAACAGTTCTACTATGAAAGTGTTTGTTTATGCAAGGTATGCAATTGCATGCTTGCATGTTATTAGCATGCAAACACTTGCATTAACCAAACACTTCCCATTAAACATTGAAATGAATTTGGATGAAACAAAAAATAACATTTATGAAATTAGCATATGAAAGCATAAGTAGAAAATATGAACATTTATCAAATTAACATATAAAAGTAAGCAAACAAGCATAAATAGAAAAGAGTTTTAGCGCAGGTATTTCCTCTATTATAGGTTTGAAGATGAAATTTATTTAAGTAAAAAAATAAATATAAATAGAAAGTATGAATATTTATAAAATTAGCATATGGAAGCAAACAAATAAACATAGAGAGAAAATATAAACATTTGTCAAATTAGCATATGGAAAGTAAACGAATAAGCATAAGTAGAAAATATGAAATTTTATCAAATTAGCATATAAAAATAAACAAACAAACATAAATAGAAAATATGAACAATTATGAAATTAGCATATGGAAATAATCTTTGAGTGAAATGAAATAAGAACAAATTGTAATGCCACTAATTGACGCATATTTATATGAGATCATAAAAATGCTTACAGATTGAATGTTATAATTGACTGGCGATAAGGAATTTCATTAAGCGAACAGATGTTCGTTCATTTACTTACACTTCTGAAAGGAAAATTTTATTTTCTTCTTTTTTAAATTTTTCACAAATGAATTTAAAATTGAAAAATCATATCGAATCGTTTAAACATTATTAATTATGAGTTTTTTCCTTAATGAATTTTAATTTAATCACTGAGTGAAATATTAAATTGGCCAATCAAAGTATAATTCCAATGATATTGTTGATATTTTACAAAATAGTTCTGAAAATTTCTGATAAGAAGTGAAATTATCAGGTAGCATGTAATGAGTGGTCACATCAAAACTTCTACAACTTAATGAGCAATCATCGAATGATTAATTAATTATGTATACTGCTGATTAATTATGTATGAAATGATACTATTAGTGATAAACTTCCTTTTTATCAGCAAATATATATGTCTATTGTGCAAACATTTATAAATTAAACAAATGCATGCATTAATATTATGATATCGATCAGCTGTTTAAACAATTTATATAAAAGCTATCAGAAAAGGTAAAATTGAAATGTTAGATTATTCAAACAAACTTTTAGTTATCTTTGTTATATTAAAAATTACTAACTGATTTCAATACATCAAATTATAATTTTCTCTTTTCTTCTCAATAACTTTGAAGTAAATAATAAGAAGAATATCTGTTTTATAATTGTTGAATTAATAAAAATTACATTTATGCTTAACTATTAAGATATGTGTGTATGTGTTGTATATGTATGTATGTATATGAATAAAAATTACCTTTGCCCTTAACTATCATGATACGTTTGTATGTGTATGTGTTGTATATATATGTATGTTTGTGTGAATAAAAATTACCTTTGTGCTTAATTATTGTGATACGTTTGTGTGTGTATGTGTATGTGTGTATGTGTATGCCAATAATAATTACTTTTATACGTTTGTGTGTGTGTATGTGTATGCCAATAATAATTACTTTTATGCTTATTAAAATACGTTTGTGTATCTATACGTCCGTGTGCATGCGTATGTGTGTGTGTGTTTGTTTGTAGCATTAAATTAACAAAATATACGAATTTTAAATTATGCGAATTTTAGTTAAGAATAAAAAATGATTGACAAAGTTTTTCGACGATAAAATTAGAAGAAAAAATATTATTATCGGATTTTGTAAAATTTTCAACTATTATATAAGCAAAAAAAAAAGAACCAGTTGTATACAACTTTTTTTTAATTTAAAATTTTGAATTTATTGAGCGCATAGTTTTTCATCATATTTCAGTAGTAAAATTAGATGTGAATAGTATAGAGATGAATGGAAGAAGTTGATGGTATACGGTTGTCAATGGGATAATTGGAAGATGAGTGAAGTAAAAATGTTGGTGACATTGATTGTCTCCACGTCCGTCACCTATTTCAATAATCTTTTCCCAATCTCATCTATTTTATTTTCTTTACTTTACTTTTATTTTCTTCTCTTATTTTCTTTATTTTACTTGTTTGTTGTTATTGCTAAGAATTGTTATCATTCCTATTTCCTCTTCTTATCTTATTTTCTTTTTCTTTTACGCTTTTTCATCATCCACGTGTTATTCCTTTATTTGCTTACTTTTACGTTTTTACGCTTCTAAAAACGTGAACTCTAAAAGTCATTAATATGCTAACAATTATGTGGAACAATTAATATTACTTATAATATCATTATTCTCATTATTTCATTCAAATTATGATTTCTTTAAAATATTTTTCCAAAATTTCATTTTGTTTTGTGGCATAGAAAAAACAAAGGTATTTAATTGTCGGTAATTCCGCAATAGATTTGATATTTTGAAATGAATTATAAAATATTTATGGAAGATTGAATATGCCATCAGAAATATTCCAATAATTCATTCAAAGTTTAATTCTAAAATAGCAAGTTTTTTTAATAATTACTTATAACGATGAAAAAACAAAGGTCATATTTTTTTGGCCTTAGAATTATACTGAATCAATAATTTGCTAAATTTAGGAGGATATGTTAGAAGGATCATATGGAATACAAAAAACTGTAAAGAAAGTGAAATTTTCAATTCCTTTCTTTCTGTAACAAAAATTGGGAACAAAAATGAAATGTAATAATAAATTAATTACCGTATTTAAAATTATTAAATTTCCAAACAATATTGTAATTTAAATTTGAGCTAATCTACAATATTAATTAAAAAATAGCATAGGCTAATTATTGATCTAAATGAATAGACTTAAATATTGAGGAAATCTTGTAGTTATCCATTTGAATGGTAAATTTTGCTTTCCAACAATGTCGTAGATGGTTGAATGATATAGTGTATTTATTATAATTGAGGATGGAATAAAAAGTTAGGTCAAGGTTGAAAAATGAAAAAGAGAAAAAACTTAGAATGAGCAAATAACTCTTTTAAGAGGTGGAAAGATACGTAGAAAGAGTAGACAAAGAGTAAAGAAAAGTAATTTCGTTTTCTTATTTTTCTTCGTTCAATGGTAGAAAAGATTTGGTTGAATGAAATAAGCATAATAACCTTGACAATTGAGTCAAAATACTTATTTAATGTGCTGGTGACAAATGACAATCATTTTAGGATCTCTTTTGATCATCACAACATAATGGATAATGTTTCTTAACTTCCTCTTATTGATTTCATAAAAATATCGATTAGAAATATTATTTAATTAAAATAGTATAATATTTTTAAATAGAATAATAGCATAGTATAATTAAATAGATGTAATAGTTAATTTTTATTAATGTGAACAAAATTTTATGCATATAACAAATTTAATGAATATTGTGTCCATTGAAATATTTAGCGATCATCTAAATTGAATATGATTTTTTTAAATATTTCAATTATATTCTTCTCCTGGAAGAATTTCCCTTAATTTTAGTTGATTTAATCCATTAATGCTAATCTTTTATGCATCTTTTCCTTTTTCTCTCCCATTTTCTATTTTAGGCTTTTTCTCATTCTACAAATTTTTAGGCCTTTTCTCATTTTACGCTCTTTTATAATTTTTCAATGGCTAATAAATTTGCTTTTTTCTAGCAATACAGTAATATATAATGGAAAATATTTATATTACAAATGCAAAAACCGTACTTAGCAATAAATTTAAAGCAATAAATTCAATGCTAAATTTTTGAATTCCCCGAAGAGGAAAAAAATGAAAGAAACGAATAATATTCAATAATAAATGTGCCAATGTGTCAATTGTCATTTAGAAGAGACGAAGGAAGTAAAATTACTTCTTAAAATGAAAATATACAACAGAAATTTACAATTTACATAACTTTTACAAATTTACAAATGACTGATTTAAATATATTTTGAAAGTAAAATTAATAAAAATTGAAGAATGGACGACATTGTAGGAAATCATTAACGTTTTTCTAATAAAATATTCTAATATCCAATATCAATCGGTTTCTTCCTTCTTCTTCTTCTCTGATACATATAAATTAATTTTTGTACAGTTTGTAGAAAATAAATTTTCGCAATTTATTTTTCAACAAACATTTTTTTTTGTATATTTATAAGTAACGTAAAAGGTACAACATTTAATTTTTTTAATTTTGTCATATATTATTTACACCTGCGATATTACTTTCTTTAATTGTAAATTTCAAATAATTAGGTAATTTTTAATTATCAATTTCATTATGCTTTTCCTATTTGGTAAAGATTTTTGTAGAATTCATTTGTTGTAATTACAATTTAAAAAAAAACTTATAGACAATATGGCATTATTGTTATTATGCAATTAATTAGATGAAATTTAAAAGGTATGTAAGAATTTTTTTAGTTTAAAAATTTAATTTAAAATTTACGATAATATTGTAAAACATGGAAGAAAAAATATTATAAATAATTTGTTTAATAAATTTGCAACAATTTCCTGTTTTTCATGCAAATGAAAAAAAACGGATTTATAATATGTGGAAAATTTTCATGGTTTATTTTAAGGACACTTTAAAATTGTTTGAAATAATAAAATATTAAGTTGCAAACTCTTTCACTTCTATGAAATTCCATTTATTCTAATATCTTTTCGGTTATGTAAATTAGCGTGGAAACTCAATTTTGCTTTGAGAACGATAATAATATATTCTGGAAATAGCTCCCAAAAATTTTACTGAATACTGACTGGTAGGAAGATATTTCGAAGATTGAAGAATAGTATTAGAAGTTGCTCTTAGAAAATCAATCCCTATCGAATCTCATAATGATCAGTTTGCTTGTCGAATAAACTGACTAAACGGTGATTGATAATATTAAAATTGTCAATTCAATTAATTGATATGTTAATATCATTTAAAGTAGTACTGCATTACGTAATTTTTCTATTTATATGATTTTAAATTCAGAATTTTCTTCTTTTTTTGTTACCTATTAAAATATTTTCTGTTTGCGTTCGTTATCCTATCGGTTTCAAAATTTTATGTATTTTCGGCATAATTAACGATAACAGAAATTTGACTGGTTTTTCAACAATCGTTGAAATGCAGAAATTTTCTCACAATACAAATAACCTTTTTCCTCTATTATACAAATTCATAAACTCTCTTAGTAAGAAAAAAAACTATGTCAAAAATTTCCGATTAACAATTATGGGCCTAAAATAACAGTTCATTTATTTAAATGGATCTAAAATAACAGTCAATATTTATGAGTTTAAAATAACAAGTTTATTTTATTATTTCTTTAAGAAATGTATTGGCAACATATTTGCATCATTTTGTTGATTTTAATTAAAAATTAGTAAAATTTCTTCTTTTAACTATCTACGATCACAAATAATTTTACAATAAATTATTTCGATAAATTTTTAAATTAATTCCATAAAATTATGTAATATTTTGCAAATGTATAGCATATGAAAATGTTTAATATAAATGTTTGTTTAAGGTAAACAATTGAGTTAAGTTTTTGAAAATTTAAAAATATTTCTTAAATTTTATAAATTTAAAAATAAGTTATGAATTCTTTGAAGGATTTGAAAGAAATTCTAAAACTTCGTGGTAAAAGTTTGCAAAATAATTAAAAGTTTCACAATTAGTAAAGGTAAAAATGATTTTTAAACATACAGCTAATTAATTATATCTAACAGTCGAAAAACTTCACTGTAAGAAATTTACGACAAAAGAGAATTTTTCTTTTCAATTTTAATGAACAAAATTTGTTGTCATTTATTTTAAATTCTTAATTTTAATGTCGCACTTAACCGTTGTTTTACTTTTCGCTTCGAATTAAATGCAAAAAATGCCAAATTAAAGGAAATTCTTATAATCAAATTAGACTGTCATCTAATTTACTCTTGTAATTTTAAATTTAAAATTTTAAGAAAAGAAATGAGATAAGTATTCCTTACTAAGAAATACATTTAATAATTTCTTCAATATTAAATTTTCATTTGTTTAGTAAATAAGTTAATATGGGTGAATTGAATAAGTGGTAAGTGTAGAGACTTAACATACAGATATTGAATAAATTTAACATGTAATCGTAGAGGTCACGTAACTTTTAACATATAATCATACAGATCATTCAATCTTTAATATGATCATAGAGGTCACGTAACTTTTAACATATAATCATGTAGATCATTTAATCTTTAACATGTAATCACAATGATTATGTTACATTTAGCATAAATCATACAGATCCAGTAGCTCTTAACATATAGTCAAGAGATCACGTAATCTTTAGCATAAAATCAGTCTTTAACATGTATTATATAATATTTAGCATATATTTATAATATACAAATATAATATAATAAACATATATATAAATATAAAAATAATTAATATATATATATATAAATATAGAAGGTCAATATTCAAGAAAAAGTTTTATGAAGATGGTATATGACAACAAGTTCTATTATAATTATTTGACCTTAACCAAAAGTGGAGGAAACATTATATATTCTATACCTTTCTTCATTTCATTTTATATAATTTGAATACATTCTTTTCACAAGTACTCTGAAATTGTCATCCTATCACTTCCTTTTTCCGCGTACACACACACACACACACACACACACACATCAACTCTTCACTAGTTTACCTAATTTTTTGTCCCTTAAAATTTTCTTCTATGACATTTGTAAATTTGTTAAATACTTCATTAAAATTTAAAATTGGCAAAATGTTTTCTCTTCGTTTACATTCTTTGTTTCTATCATTTAAATGAAAATTTAATTTTGTTAATTTTATATTTGTTGTTTTTGATTTAAAGAATAATCACTTGAAATATTCAAAAAATATAACAAAATAATTTTAATATCAGTCTTTTTGTTCTTTTTCTTTATTTTTACTAATTTCCATCTTTTAGTATTTCAAATAAAATTTCGATTTCTTTACAAAATTAATTAATTTGCATTTCTTTTTTGCTGAATATAAAATTTTAAATTTTAAGTAATTTATTGATTATAAATTTAATCAATAAATTAATTTTATCAGTAATTTTATTTATTATAAATAAATATGATAATTTTATTGATTATAAATAAAATTGATAATTAATAATTTTATTAATTATAAATGTAAAATTAAGCATTTAAATGCATTGTTATAATTATTATAGGCTAAAATTAAATTAAATGCATTAAAGGAAAAATACAATGAAAGTTTATAATTTATAAATTATTACTAATTTAACGAAATTTAACCACTTTTTTTCTTCTTTTTCCAGTTTTATATGGAAAAATCATACTGTCAATGGATGAAAATAAAATGCTCATTTGACGATATTATCATAATTCCTTATGTTCTTCACTTGTTTCCATGTATATAGCATCCTGTTGTTGTTGTTGTTGTTGTTGTTGTTATTGCTATTGCTTTGTTGTTATTGCTGCTGTTGTTGTTTTTATTATTGTTGTTGTTACTGTTGCTATTGTTATTGTTATTGTTATTGCTGTTGTTTTATTGTTGCTACTGCTACTGTTGTTGTTGTCTTTGTTATTGTTGTTGCTACTGTTGTTGTTTTTAATGTTGTTGTTGATTTCATTTATTTCATATTACCTCATGTTTTCCACTTGTTAGAATGTACAAATGTCCTCTTGCTATTGTTGTTGTTGTTATTGTTATTGTTATTGTTGTTGGTTTTATTGCTATCGTTGTTGTTATTCTTGTAGTTATTGTTGATTCCATTTGTTTTATATTTTCTTATGTTCTTCATCATATGCGTTGTTGTTGTTGATTTTATTTGTTCAAATTAGATAAATAGAATGAAATTTTATCAATATCAAGAATAATTTCAAATATATATTTATATAATATATATTCTTAATCTCAATTCCGCTTATTCTTTTCTTCATTTCTTTTTCAATTTTCAGGTATAATCTAAAAATGAAAAGAATGTTTATTTTTCATACTGTCAGAAGTGATCTACAATAGTACAAATCAAATGATACAAATTTATGACATTAATTTTGCATACAACCGATCAAATTACATACAACCAAAATTTTCGGATGTAATTTCGGTCAAAAAAAAGAGAATAACAACAAGACGAATAGATTTTGAATTTAATCAATTTCTGAAAAAGTAATGGACCTATGCAGTACACTTCTCATATATATCTCAAAAGGTTAGTATTATTTCTTTCTTCTCTTTTTCTTTTTCATTTAAAAATTTTTCCTTCTTTTATTTCTTTTTCTTTTTAAAACCTTTTATCACTTATTGTTAAATTTTGTTTATTTTCTTTATCACTCATTTCAATATTTTATTTAATTTTTATTTGTTGAAAATATTATTCCAAATTATAAATTTAATTTATATGCAAATGAATAATTAAAATGAGAAATGATTTAGAATAATATACAAATAATATTGTTAATTAAAATTTATTGATTTTCAATTTTTATATAATCTTCTATTTCTCACAATAATCCATTACTATACGTATGATGAATACACTACAGGCTTACAGATCACCGTATCGTCTTTATCGACCGTATCAATTTGAAATTCCACAAACAGCAACCATTCCAAGCAATTCAACAGCTCTCTATCGTACACCAAATATTGATATATTATCAGAAATTAATCGACGATCAAGACGACTTGAACGTATTGTATCTTATCAAAAAATTTTAACAATTACTCAGGTATTAATCAGGTTAAATTTTCTTGAAAAAAAATTTTAATTTAAAAAACTGAAATAAATTTTTATTTCATTTATTAAGAAGCATACAAAATGAAACTTTCTTATTTTCAGCTGCTACTTCAATTACTTTTAACTTATTTATGAAATATTTTTAACTCTTTACTTTATCATACCTTAACTGTTCTATTTTCATTCAAACTTCTAAGTTAAATTTATAATGAATTAAGTTTGCTAATTAAGAATTGCTAAGAATTCTTTCGCTTGTAAAGAAATTATTTAGAACAAAATATTTCGTTTTAGAAGTAGGAAAATATAAAGACGAAAAATTTTCACAAAAAAATTAACTAACTTTTTTCACCTTTACTCAAAAGGTAAAAATTGATTGTATGTTTTATTAAAAATCTATGCAAAAGATAAAATTGAATGTAATAAATAAATGATGCACGTACATATAGCAGGTAAACTTAAAGGTAAAATTTATTAATAGATAAACTTAACAGGTAAAATTTATTATTGGCTAAATTAAAAAAAAACGAAAATTAATTTCATTTTTTGTTTTCTTAATTGCATTTTTTCAAATGATTTCATTTTAGATGTTATTTTCATTACTTTTGATAATATTGGAAATGATGAAAATTTTGTTAGTTTGGGAGCATTTCAACCATTTGGAACAAAGATTTTTGCTAGTAAGTTTCTCTTTCACATCTTTTTCAACCATTATATTAAAATATATAAGTTATTGATTTTTTTTTTTTGATATTAAAATTTAAAATTAAAATATTTCTTTTAATTGGTAGTAAGAAAAATAATTTTTGAAAAATACTAAAAATGATGCATTTCAATGATATGTTAATGAAAATTTTAGATATGTGAAATATTTCAACCAACACTTTTTGCTACAGCTGCATTTATAACACTTTATTGCGTTTTGCGACCAACGAAAAGTACCTCACAAATTGCTATCGCATCACTTGTCGCAACATTAGTACCATTATTCATGTTTCCTACTCGATCACCCTTTGTGCTCAGTGAGTTTTAACAATTTCAATACTTTTGTTTCTGTGTTCAATAAAGCATGCTTAAATGTGCTGCTCTAATTATATCATTTTTATCATTATCAGAATTCTTTGATAATTTATGCCAACGATAATTAAAATGATAATTATATCATTTTTATCATTATCAGAATTGTGAGATTAAGAAAAATAAGAATGAATAAATTATAAGTTTTATTCTTCAAATTTCATTGATTAGTAATCAAAAAAATATTTCAATAAGAAATTAAAATATTCTTCTACCAAATTTGAAAAATTTTCCATTGATAGATAAGAATAAATAAAATTAAATTAATTATTTTTATGAAAGAGGAAAAATTATTTTAAAATGATTTCTAAATAATACTTCAGATTTCGACTTTTTTTTTTATCGTTGAAATTTAATTTTAAGTTTTAGTAGACAAAATTAATAGAAAAAAAACTATAAATATACTATTATTGCCGGAAAATAAGAATGGAAAAAAGATTATTTTAATTATCAAAAATTTTGGAAAAAAGAATTAGCAATACTTTTAATAATGGTAATTTAAATTTAGGTATTATTTATATTGATTGAATATTTCTGGTATTTTCGCTTGAAAATCTCGTTTCTTCCCATCCATAACACATTTGTTCAATTTGAAAATTAGTGCCATTTTAATTCTTCTTTGAAATTTGTATTTTAAATTTGGCTGAAAAACTTTTTTTCATATTAAATTACGAATTCAAATTTAAATCATTGCGATTTTATTTATTACTTTCATAAGAAATGCTAAATTAAGAAGCAAATATTTTTATGAGTGAGAAAAAAAGAGGACAGAAAGGGAAATATTAAAAGTATGTATAAAATTTTAGAAATAAAAATTAAAATTTTTGATTCGATTTAAAATTTCTGGAAGAATACATTTGTTTCGAATACCCAAATCAATACGATCCTAATAAACTGAAAGTGTTGTAAATAATTTAAATTTTCGAATTTTGGAAAATAAAATTTGAAAGAAAGACGATTATTAATAATTTAAATTTTGAATGGTAAAATATGATTTAAATTGCTTGATATGGGTGTTTACTTTCATTTAATGTTGAAATTTCTTAATTTGATTTTTGATAGCAAATATCTCGTATGACATAAGTTAAGAAAGTTCTGAGGAATGCATTCATCAACATTGCATTTAAATTATTTCTTCAATATCACATGGGATTTACCGAGTGTAAATTATGTTGATATATTTAATATAGTATTTCAAATATAATTAAATAATTCTTAATTGATATTTTCTATTCTAAAAGCAACTAAAATATTTTGAATTTAATTCATCTCTGTAAATGTTTTTTGAAATAAAGCATGAGGAATGAAAATTTACCTACAACAATAAATGTATTATAAATGTACTACAAAATAATAAATATACTACAATAAACATTTAATGTACCATATAAACAGCAATAAATATACTACAAAATAATCTATAAAAAAAAATTAAAAAAACTGAAGTATCAATGAATGGAAAATGTTTGCATGATCAAAAAGTAAATTTTAAAAAGATAGAATTAAATTATGGATGAATAGAAAATTTTAAATAATAAAATTTCAAGAACAAAAATTAAATTTTATTAGCTGCTACAGATGCAATTGAAGCAGTACGTTTGAGTCGATTGATAGATCGTCGTCCATCGATAGTGACCGATGGAATGTATTCTCAAATTTCATCAGTATCAGATGGTTTAGATAATTTCGAACAGCTACAACGATTAGCGCAATTACCCATTCTTACAATTTCCAAAAATGTTGCAGCAGAGGTTCAATATTTAATTAAAATTATTTTTTAAAAACTTAATCAGTATTTTATTTTGAAATTTTTTAAAATGATAAGTATTAATATCAAAGATTTGAAGTAAGCAAAAAACTGAAAATTAAAATTTTAGCAAAATTTTTTACCAAATGAAATTCTTATTGTTTATTATTCTTATTTTCATAATGTTAAGTGAAATATGATAATCAATCAATTCATTGTTTTAAGAATTGTTTTGTTGCAAAAAAGAAGAAAAATAATACAAATCATTCAAAAAACGCATTGCATTTAAAATTAATTAAGCATTGATAATAGTAAGTAATAAAGCGTTGTGATAATAAGAAAAGTAATTAGGCATTGATAATAATAAATAATTAAGTGTTGTGATAATAAGAAAAGTAATTAGGCATTGATAATAATAAATAATTAAGTGTTGTGATAAAAAGAAAAGTAATTAAACATTGATAATAAAAAGATCTAAAACGTTAAAAAAAATACGTGTACGCTAAATAATTTCAAACATTTAAATTTTTCAAAATAATGCAAAGTGGAAAAAAAGTGGTTGAAGTTTAGCACTGTGTAATAAATTAACAGTGAAGTAAATTTTTAGGATTGGAAGTCATCTTCGACACTTTCATCAGCTGCGCCTTCCGTTCCCTCCTCATCCATTTACGCAATTCAACAACTGCTCAGTTTGCAATATTTACTAATCGCTTATGCATTCTTCTCATTTGCTTATTCTGTTCTGTTAGTTTTGATGCTCATTTCCTATGTTCAACTTATTCAATTACAGTAACCCTGCTGACCTTTGACTTTTCTTTTCATCTTCGATACTTTTGTTGTTTTTGTGTCTTAATTATTTCACAGTAATTATTATTGCAATTAGTTTAATTGTTTTAAAATTTACATTGAAATATATTGATGTGTTTAAGTTTTAAAATGTTTCAACTTTAATGAAAAGTTAATCATGATATTGTAAATTGTTATTGTCATTTGAATATCGAAATATAATTTGTTAAAGAAATGAAAACAAAGAGAGTAAGAGAAACTGAATAAATATGATCATTATCGTTAATATGCATGATGATTCATTTAGGCTGGTTATAAAAATGATTGGTTCCCTTAACAGTGAGTGCTTTCTTTTTTTCATTATTTAACTACTTTTAAATTAATGAAAATAATTTAATGAATAATAATTTTAAATTAATGAAAATAATTTAATGAATAATAATTTTAAATTAATGAAAATAATTTAAAGATGTGAAACTTTTTCAGAAATTTAACATAAATTTTTCAAATTTCTGAAACTTTTTATCAATTGTCTTTCCAGTAATCAGTTATTCAAATTTATCGATTCACCGAATGATGCCATCAATGATATTAATTAGTTATTGATAATAATTGATAACATAGCAAAATATCATTTCAACACTTAAATAATTATTATTGAACAAAAAAAAAGCATTGCTAAAGCATTAATTGCTTTAATCATAATTTATTCGATTTAATAAGATTTTATTTGAAATCTTCATTTAGCTAGCAAATAATAAATGAGTTTCTTTCAATGAATTTTTATCGAACAAAATGTAATATTGCAATTTAGAAAACTAAAATTAAAATTAAGCTATTTTTGAATTTGAATTAATAATTATCTTAGATTGAAAATTACTTAACTTTCCCTTTCTATAATCCATCCTATTCCTAGCAAAAGGAAAAAATCGCAAGACTGCAACAAAAATCTTCAACAAATACTTCCCGCAGCCATCTAATTTTTCGATTTATAAAAAAGCTTTTTTAATTTCTTCTTCGAATAATTTTACTCAAAGCGACATTTAATGAATAATTTTTAATTTTAATTTTTTGATCATTTTATTTGTTTGGAAAGTGATAACTTTCCAATGACAAATGCTTATTTGGCGTGAAAACATTAAAATTATTATTACCAGTAAAGGATGAAGGTCATATGAATATTATTACGCTTTTAGCCGAAGCTCAAAATGAGAATTCAGCCCGAAGAGCTAATTAAAATCCTATAATTGGAAGCATTATTAGATGGATTTGGCAACTTTAGGCTTTACTTTATAAGGCTTTCTACAAATCTCTAAGCTTCTATTTCTTTAAGAAATGAATAAGCAAACTGAAGTTTTCGTAAAAAATGCAATAATTCATTTAAGATTGGTTTTGAATGAAATATTATTTCTAATTTAAAATTATTTCACTTCATTTATAATTTAATCAGTTTAAAATGATCGATTATTAGTAGAAATGTTCCTTTCACTCTTAAATAATTGTTTACAAAAGCTTTCTAAGAAACTATCAAAGAAATAAATACAACGAAAATTATTCAAATTCATTAAATCGATGTCATTCTTCATAAAATTTTAAAGCGTAATTTGTAATAACAAATTATGCAAATGACAAATTAAGAATGGAAAAAATTAATTTCTTTAACTAACTGTCACAAATATTTTAGCTTAAAAGTTTAAAACTTATTTTTTATTCTGACGGTAAAATATGCGTTATATTTAAAAATAATGTATGTTATTTAAAATTGCTTGAAATTGTCGCATTTTCATTTCATTGAAATAATTCATTGTCTTTTATTTATATACATGTACGATTAATTTCAATGAGTGCGATAAAGTTTGATATGAAATATTAAGCTTAATTGAAAATTGCAAAAATTTCCATTTGCAACTGATTTTCAGAAAGGTGGAAAAAAGATTTAAATTTTAATTTTGAAAGAAATTGTTACACATACAACAGGTGTAGTAATACATATGATAAATTATTACTGTTACCTATTTTGCAAATTTAAAAAGAACCAACAACAGGTGTAAGTTAATTCTTTTTTGAATTTGCACACAGGTAGTAGTATTAGATATGATAAATTATTACTGTTATCCATGTGCAAATTTAAAAAGAGCCAACAACAGGTGTAAATTGATTCTTGTAAATGTGCACACAAGTAACAGTAATAATATATCATATGCAAAATTTGATGAGCAAAATAATGAACAAAATTAATAATGTGTAATATTAATAACACATTAATTTTTAGTATTATATAATTTTTGTACAATATAAAATTCCAATTAGCAAATTTATTGCCAACACAATTTCGAATTTATAAATAATTGGAATATAATTTATTATTTAAATATTGTAATAAAGAAATATAACAGTGCTTTGTTAACATTTTTAATATTTATATGGTAATTTGTTAATTTATGATGAAGTTATTAATAAACTTGAATCAATTCATTAAAATCCATTCAATATTTCAATAATAATAATTTCAATTTAAATTATTCCAATACAAAGAGAAGAAAAGGTATGATACAATCATAACTGAAATTTTCTAATATTTTGATGAGAATTTTTTAAATCCTAAATCTAATCATCGCAATTCAATATATCATTAATCGCATCTCTTTTTATTTTCGATTTTTGTATTATTTATTTGCGATGAAAATTTGTTCTATTTCATTTTTGACTGTATAAATTTGGATGCTTCAAAGTTCTGTAAGTTATTTCGAAACGATTGGAATTGATAATTCGCATTTATTACGATCGCAACCATTCCATTATTATCACTCCAAAATAAATCGCAAATTTAAGCGTAATTTTACCAAATGAGAATAACATTCATAAAGTTATAAAATTATCAGTTTTATCAATATTATTAATGCAATCGAAATGATTCAAACAAATTTCAAATTCTATCGATAATTTCTTAGAATTTTTTGTTTGAAATAGAAACAATTTTATTAGCAAATAATTTGAAAGAGGCAATTTTTGATCTTATCAAAATTAAAAATTCATTCAACAAAAAATGTACATATATATAAATTAAATATTTTAACTAATAAATGAAATGAGTAAAGTGAATTATTTGATAAGTTAATGATAAAAATACTTAATGCTTTTAATTCTTTATAGTTAAATCAATCGATTTTATCAAAGGTTATTTATTCCCCAACATGTTTAATAGCTGTTAGCCGATTTAACTTCACCACGATTTCCTCTACAATATACATATGTTCAGTTATTCTTTCCTTTTTCAAACAAAAATTTTTTCCCTGAAGACAAACTAACAAATGACTAAGCTCTTAATTGTATTAATTTTCATTAATTTCTAATTTAATTAAAAAATTTTTGTTTTACTTTTTTTCAAATAAAAATTTTTTCTCTTCTTGATATAAATCAAATTATTTCAAACGCGCTTTTTTTAAATTTTCATCAATTTCTATAAGTTTTACAAACCATTGCGAATTTAAGAAAATAAAAGTTGAAGAAGATGGATGCCATTATTGGAATCCATTCCCGTATCAGATGAATGTCATTTATCCGGGTGAAATTGTATTACTTGACGATCTATCAATTTTGTTATGAAAATATAAGTTGTTTACAACAACTTATATTAAGTTTCGCTTTTTATTTGTTGTGACATACTTTAGCATAAAAATTTTAACATACATTTTATTTGATAATTTTCAATATTTGATTGAAAATGATAGCAGCAAAGAAAGTATGATTAAATTTTTAAAGCTTTATAATTATTCATTTATTTAGTATTAAAACTTGACAGATTGATTACTTAATCTCAATTACTTTAATCAATTTGTCATATTTTATATTAGAAAAAAGCAATAAACTACTTACCTTATTCATCTTCTTATCTTCGTTATATTTGCAAATTTTCAACATATTTTCGATCACGTCATATTTTTTAACTTACATCATATTTTTCAACTTATGAATTTTAATGCTAAAAACAAAGATAAATTAATTGAAAAAAATGAAGGTTATTAAATTTTACATTTTCAATTAAACCTTATTCTTCACCATATTTTCAACTTATTAATATGTATGTGTTTAATTAAAATTTTTTATTTTCAATTAAATTCACTCTAACACTTTATACTGATTAATATTTTGCATAGCATCTATACTTGATATCGGATATTGAAATGATGTCGAAGTATCATTTTTTATTCACATACATTAAATTATTTCATAATGATGTCGCAGATGCTTCACATTGTTACGTACTTTATTTAAAATGATGCAATTTATCAGCTGCAAGTGAGTGGTAATATAAATTTACTATCTGAAATTAATTAGATTAAAATGTATTGATAGAAAAAGTAAATTTTTTGATTAATCATTTGGTGTTCAACTAAAAATGCTAAAAATAAACAAACTTTTGTTTCATTTAATAATCATCCTATTGTTTTGCTCATAAAATTAGTGCTAATTATTGCATAATATAAAATCACTTTAGTCATAGATATTAAGTATTTCTCTTTCGCAGTTAGCAAATTATGTCATTTTAAATGAAGTACATAATAATGTGGAGCATCTGCGACATCGTTATGTATATCATTCCATGATACTTTAATATCATTTCAATTATTATTTCATTTTAATTATATCATTTTTTTCAATTATTATATCATACTATTCGAAATTAGCGAATGTAAAAATATTGCTAGATGATGTTTGCGCCGAATATTATAAAATATTACAAAATTTCATGTTCCGCTTTGCGATCATTGAGCATAAAAAAATATCGATAATTAACTTATTATGTTTAAACATTTATTATACATGCTAAAAGAACACTTTAATTGATTTATTAAATATCAATTTCCAACTTTTTTTTCCTTTTTGAAGATTGAACTAAAATTGATTATTTATATTTTGAATTAATATGTAGGAATATTCTCCTAGTCAAAGATTTAAACAATACTAAATTATTTTAAAGTATAATCCAAATGATTAATAAAAATTTTAAAGTCACAAAGATATGTTAGAAAGCATTCTGGCAGTGTACATTTCAGATTCATATTAAATTCAGTTTCAGCAGAAGGAAAAAAAGCATATTTGTAAAACAACTTTCTGTCTTCTCTTCCAATTCTTATCATTTGTGATAATAATCTTATATCAATTACATAAAATAATTCTGTAGCAAAATTATCAAAATGCTTACAGGCTTAATTTTGCATAACTGTTGCTCAAATATACGTGAAATAGAACCAATTGATCAAGTTTGGATATTTTCCGGAAAAAAACCCCGGGAATAATCTAATTAATGTGAGACTTTGAAGAGAAATAAATTCAACGAAATTCTGTTCATATAATCATCAAGAAAATGAAATTATGGGGGAGGATGACGTTAAGCGCAAATGCAAAAAGGCGGAGACAACCGTAAAGAGAAACCAACAAAGCATATCATCAAATGACTTCTAAATAGGATGAACTGCCGACATTATCGCCGTAGGCGGGTATCTATCTTATCTATGCTTTGGCAAATATTCTAGAAGAGCATTAAGGAGAGATTTCTTCTTTGCTTTTTTTTTCTTTGTTTTTGATATGATACATTTGTTGAGATCGCTATTGGTACCAGCCATTCATTGAAATTTTAATTAATGATATTGTTATGAGTTATCATCAATCTTATTATATCATTATTAATGGTATACTTTTGATTAGATTTTTTATTGGTGCTGTACTCCTTAATTATATCATTACTGGTATCATTTAATCGATCAAATTTAATACTATTTGATCATGTAATCAATCAAATTAACTAATAATGATCGATTAGATTAACTAGTGAACGATCAGATTAACTAATGATATTTGATTAGATTAGTTAACATTCATTTCCTGATAGGATTATCTATATCAATTATTGGATTGATATCTTTAACATTGTCATCCGTAATTGCTTTCTTTTTCATTACTCATTTTAAATGATCGATGAGTGGTAACAGTCAATAGTAGTAAAGATATATCAAAATTTGACGTATTATTTGTAGTAAATTGAAAATTTTTCTTATTGTTCAAATTATTTTTTAAGCATAAAAATTGTTTACTTCTAGAATATGGTATTTATAAAGAATAATTTTTAGATAAAATCGGCTCATTTAATTAATCTATCAATATTTACACATTATTACTGAAATATTTGCTAAAGTATAATAATTTGATCTCAAATAATTTGTGAAACATAAAGCTCAAGCGTCCTATTTGAAAGGGAAATTCTTGATGAGTAGCCGAACGACAGTATCATGCGTTGATGTCAATGATATTATGTCTGCATTTGGTGATTGGACATTAAGGCTCGATGTAAAGGTGTGGTATTTATAGCTCTCTTTTTATTTATACTAAAAAATTTCATTTTTAATTCTTAAAAAATTTTAAAGATATAATCAAAATAACAAATATAATTTGAGGTTGAAAATATTGTTAGAAATTTAAGAATACTATAATAATATGATTAAAATTTAGAAAAAGAAAATTACAAAAAACTAAGAGAATATTTCAAAATACAATCTAAGCAATAAGCGATTATCCGAGAAATTTTTCTTTTTTTTTAATTAATTATGATTAATTGCAAATTGAATTGTTTAATTCGAATAATGAAAAATGAAATAAAGGTGATATTATTAAGTTAGTTAAAATTCTCCCGGTGCTGATATCAGTATAAGATGATATTTTCAGTTTCATTAACAAATCAATTTGACCTCTTTTAAATCTCCAGCCATTTTTTAGTTTTCATTAATTTCCATATTGAAAATACTAACTGTTGCTTAATGTACATAGTCTTGTTAAGCAGATTTCTAAACATAAAACTTATCGGATATTTTCAATGGTTAAATTAGAGATTAGCGAATGAAAGTTATTAATTAGAAATTAATAAGTGGTAGTTTTAATTTTTCACATTTGAACCGATTACGAATAAATTTTTTGCATATTTATTCATTTATTTTTTTTTTTACGCCGAGATTTTATAAACAATTTTATTTCTCAAATCTTTAATTGCACTCGAAAGCATTATCATTATTATATTCGCATTATCACTATTAGCATTATTATAGTCGTATTATCATTATTATCATTGTTGTAATTGCATTATCTTTACTATCATTATTACATTTGCATTATCATTACTATAAACAAGTAACTGAAACTAAAACAACATACTTCGAATTGTATAAATTTTTGAAATTTTGCTTGTTTTCTTTATATTTTGTCAAAATGCACCATCAGTTTATTAATTAACCAACTGATGTATTAGTTAACAATTTCTGTTTTCATGTTAATAATATCTTATAACTTTAAATAATCTTTCTTATAAGTATCCAAAATAAAGTTGAAAAAATACTAGCGACCGTAAAAAATCATTAGAGTTGATTAGAAATGATTCATTACAATTAAATTTGCATAATTTTTATTTTAGAAGAAATAATATTGCTTTAATTTTATAGCTATCACTTTTTTTTGATATCGTTTATCATCAATTGATGATGTTGCAGAATGTTTGATTGGTTTATAAAAAAACTGCAAATAAAATTTAGTGAAGTATTTGAACTTTTTGGCTTTAAATTTAGATGGCCAAAAATCAAAGATTAATTTTAATTTTTGCAAAATATGCAAAAATTAAAATCTAATTTTTTTTGAAATTTTAATTTTTGCAACATATACAATATATATATCTTTTTTTAGAGAAAAAAACGAAGCATATTTTATGATATCATAGGCAATAAATTTATATATTCAATTTTATGATATTACATTTAGCATAACTATTACAAATATCAAATTGTGCAACGATGAAATATTAAATCAAATTTCATTAAAAACCTTTTTCTCTTCCTAATTAATTATAATAAAATTGCTGCAGTAAAAAAATATTTACATTTAAAAAGGAATGCAAATCGATAAAAGGAAGCTTTGTTTATTTATTTATATATTATAGATGGAAGATCGAAAAACGAATGAATTTATATCTCAGAAAATTTCTCTTTCATTTTCTTCTTTTATCTCTTTTTCAATTTACCATTTAAAATTATAATGTTTTGTTGTTTGGAAATGTATGATCGAGATATTTGGAAAGGAATGTGAAAGAAAATATCAATTTACTCTAAATACTATAAAATATTCAATTATGATTTCTTCATAATATTAAATATATATTTTTCAACAATTATATTATGCAATCATTACATTTCTCAATTTTAGGTGAATAGTATTTAATTGAATAAACTTTTAATAGTATTTGAGTAATGGAATGAAATTGAGAGAGTAACGGAGCTTTTAGAGTTATCATTGCAGAAATTTCTATTATTAAGATATATATTTCATTATAATAATGAAAAAAATTTTCAATCAATCTTCCATAATGTTTGAAATTTTGGAAACCTTATCAGATGATAAATTAGATATGATAATAAAAATAGATATGATGTGATAATAAATACTAAATTCCTTATAATTATTGATTTTTTCTTACTCCTTTGCATTTTTATAATTTAAATATTAATAAAATATATATATATATATTGTTGTTAATAATTTTAATAATTTTTGAAAAATTACTTGCAATCGTATAATATAAATAATTGAAAATGCTATGATAAATTTTATTTAGACACTAAAATGGATGATAGATAGTTAAGATTTTTAATAACATTTGTAAAATTAAGTTATTTGAAGTTGAAGTAGTATTGATTTTATTTTAATGAACAATATATCAGTCATTCTTTCTTAATATTTTCTCATTTCAATTTTATTTTTCAGAACTTTACATATCTATTCCTTTTCAGTTCAATTTATTAATAATTTAAATAGGAATAATATTTGATTTAAACAGGAACAATAGTAATTTATAAGGGAAAAATAATTGATTTGAATAGAAATAATAATGACTTAAATAGGAATATTAGTAATTTAAATAGGAATAATAATAAATAAAAAAAATATTTGCATAAATATATTAAATAATTTCTAGAAACTTTGTTTTTTTCCTTTGTCATTATTTTTACGGTTTTTCATTACAAATGAAATAATCCTACCTGAATTGAATAGAAATATGAAAAATGAAATTAAGAAATGCTAATTTCATTTTTTCTTTAAAATACCGTAATACATATTTTGTTGTAACTTTCATATTTCGTTGAAACTTTATTTAAAACTTTATTATCAAATTAAAAATTATTTTGTTTTTTGATCAAAATTTATTAGAAAACTTTCAAATTTAAATTTTAAATCTTCAAATTACATTTTGTAAGCTATCGAAGTTTCAGAAATTAGAAATTTTTTATTATCAAATTTAGTCTTAAAATTTTAGTTGTAATTTTTGGAAATTTGAATATTTCTTTATTTTGATTGTTTACATACTTTTTATCATAAACATTTCATTCTATCGTAAGTTCATTTATCTTTCCCTTAAAAAATGTTAGCTATGTTTTTTTAATAAACTTTTTAAAATTTATAATTTAGTTTAGGAAAGATTTCAATCTTAGCTTTTAGCAAAAAGCTTTTGGGAATATATAACCATAAATAACATAACGATTTGTATTAATAGAGTTATTATAGACCAAAAAATGACTTCACGATCGACAAAAAGTTTAACAAATTTAGTTTTTATTTTCATTCTTTTAAAAAAGAGAAAACTTTTTGTTTAACAAATATTTGGCATTTATTTTCTTCTTGACAGTCGAACTTATTTAATCACAATATAATCATTGTTATAACGCATATCATTAAGTTTATTTGCTATCAATCAAAATTGCTAAATTTAACTTTTATGCAATTTAACTTTTTCTTTTTTGCAAATTATTCTAAAACTAAGTTAACATTTTCAACCATTTGCATAGAGTGATAATTTTAACATTCCTTAGTGATAATTTGTTAGTAATGTGCATTTTATTGACAGTGCCTTTCGTCTTTCATTACTTTTCTCTTTCTCTTTTTCAACAAATTACGATGACAGCGTTTAAAAGAGTTGAAAATTCTTTTTTCACTGATGAAAAAAATAGATAATGATCGAATGATTAAAGAAAATATTTGAAATGGACTAATTTCTTTTTTACGAACTTATCAATCTCTTATTTTCTTTTCTTCATTCTCAAGAGATTTGCTGTAAATTTGCTGTAAAATCGATGCAAAATAGCAACTTCACATTTATTCTTTAATTGAAATTTTTTGTAAATAAAAATGAAAAGAAAACAAAACTGAAAAGGAATTGGAATTGGAATTGGAATTGGAAATGGAAACGTTTAACTTAAATTTTATAAAAAAATACAAATTTTTTTCTTTTTTCTAATATTATTTTGATGTTTACAAAAAATTGTTATTTTATTTTTCAGAAATTAAATTCTTTCTTTAAAATAAAGCAAAATTCCTTTTGAAATTATTAATTGTCAGATTTGCGCTAGTTTATATTAAAAAAGAATTTATTTCTAATTATCATTTATCAATTTCTTAAAATTATCATTTATCAATTTTGTGTTGATTTAAATAGTATGATATTAAATAGAGAAATTTATTTTCTTTTTTTATTTTATTGTATTATTTTGTTGAATTAAAAAAAGAATGCATAATTTTATTGAACTTAATTGAGGAAAAAATAAAGAATTCATTTTCTATTTTCAATAAAATTTCTATCAAAAATTTTAATTTCAAAAAGTTTTCTTCGACTTTTTTTGGGATTAATTTAATTTAATTTAAAAACAAAGAAATACTTTGTTAAATTATAAAAAATTTTATAATTTAAATAAATGAAAGTAATGAAAAAATAAAAGAAAAAATGTTAACAAAAATTTGATATTATGTTTTTTTAAGAAAATAATTCCTATCAAATTTTATTATAATGAGAAAGAAATGGTAAATTATAATAAATTGAATTATTTAAATTTCTTTAACCATAACTCTTAATTGTAAAAAACTTAAATTTCCATATCATCTGGTATTTTGTTTTATAATTTCATGACTTTATGGTTATCAAACTTTCAATTTTAAAAACGTTACTGTAGCATACTTCAGAATATGTTTGTTCTTTTTTGGAAGAACCATTCTGCAAACTTTGACCTTAAGGAAGGAAATTTAATTTTATCATAATTTCGATAATTTTTTAAATAGCTGCTATCAATTTTATTTCAATTTTGTAAAACAATAAAATTTTCTTAAAACAAATTTCTGAACAACTTTTCAAATATAAAATTAATTCAAGTAATTGTTTCTGATAATTTTATTGTTCTAAATTTTATTAAATTAAATTATAATAATTAAAATTGCATGAAAGAATAATTTCAGGTAATTTTACTGCTGAAAAGTTTAAAATAAAAGCAAAATATTTATATCAATTATGAAATCAATAAATAAGAAATCATTTATATAAACTGAAATCAATAATTTTTATTCATTATATTATATTTTAATTTGATAATATATAATAATCAATTTGATGGAAAATAAAATTTATTCATTTTCAGCTCTTTTATTCTGCTCTTTATGCGACAATATTTATTGTTGGATTGATTGGAAATGGTTCGCTGATTAGAAGTTTAGCGAAGCGAAAACGAATCTCAGTTCCAAACATATTTCTCATTAATTTAGCTATTTCTGATTTGGTTTGTGTAATTCATTCATTTCATGCATTTTTATCTTTTCTAAACAGATCATAAATCATCCTATCATTTTATCTTCCCAAAAGCAAAAACAAAAAAAAGGAGAAGAAATTTCGATAATTCTTTTCATTCTGAAAAATTTTATAAAATATAAAATAAAAAAAAGAATTTGAGAAATTTATTTTTAATTTAAAATTTAGTTAAAACAATAAATAAATGAAATTAATTAAAATAATAAGTAAATGAAATGAATTAAAATAATAAATAAATGAAATAAACATTTAACAATAAATTTTATTAATTAAATTATTTTTTCTTTCATTTTAAAAATTTTTATTATATATTATTAATTGAAAAATTTTATTAACACTTACAACAAATTTTTATTTTTAAAAGAAAATTTTACTAAAAATTTCTTTTTTGAAATTTTACAAATTTCTTTTTCTATTTTAATTGTATGTATAATATTGCTATAAAAATTTCAATTCCTTCTATCCAAGATCTTCTTTTTTGTCTATTCATTCAATTATACTTCATATTTTTTTAATAAGTTGCGCATTAAAAGATAAATGCGCACATACACATACATATCTTAGCTACTGCCAGTATTGGACAGAATACTTGGCTATCCAATTGAAAATCCAATATCTCTCTATTTGCTAGAAAGCAAAGTGGCACTTATTCAAGTCAATAAAATTTAATAGCAAAAGATTTGAATCATTTGAATATATCTGAATTTACCTAATAAGGCATTGATGCGATATCATTCTAATATTATGTTATAGTCAAATTTAAAAGTCTTAGAGAAAACAAATGCTTATAATTAATAGATCTATGATAATTTGTTATTAAACAAAGGAATTTTTTCAAAAATGATAGAAAAGTGAAGAAGGAAAATTAACAATTTTTCTTAAATTTTAAGCGATTTATTTGCATTTTTCGAATGAAATATTCTGAAAAAAAGTGAATTATTTTAAATTTTCTGAAATTATTATTAATTTGAAAATGAAAATGTTAGTAAATTTTTGTTGACAATTAAAATAACGAAATTTTCAAATTTAAAATATTCATTTCCTATTTTTAATTTACATTAAAATATTCCTCTTTTTCTCTTTCCCTCCACCTCTCTCTCTCTCTCTCTCTATTAATTATTCCTAATTCAGAAAAAATTTGAGGATGATAGAAAAGAGAGAGAAAGAGAGAGAGAGAGAGAGAGAGAGGGAAATATTTGTTGAAAAGAAAAAACTCATTAGGGAAAGTTTCCTAAAAAGTTTCTTTTATTTGTTAATTCTTTCTAAGAATGAAAAAAGGCATAAATATATTTATGATATTTTATAGCTTTTATTAAAAGTATTAATTTGAAATTTGTAAACAAAAGATATTTCCATTTTCGATTTGTTGAAATAGACTTTTAAATTTGAAATAATTCAATTTGAATTTAGCCTTAAAAGAATAGTCATTTAAAGTTGTAATATGTATAGCTGTCTTCTAATTTAAATGATAGATTTAAACGATATATTTATTAGAGAATAAAGCAAAGAATGTGTTTTTCATTTGCTTTTCCACTTCAAATTAAAATTTCAAAATATATTAGATGAAATGGACTTTTAAATTTGAGACAATTCAATTTTAATTTTTTTCTCTAACAAGAATAGTTTTAAAAAAGAATTTTAAATTTTAAAAAGGTTATTTGTTGTATAAGAAGCTATAATTTATCATTCAAAATGCAGAAAATCAGCATAATTTTTAAATGATAGAAAGATAATTATTTTTTTGTTAGTAAAATTAACCATTCAAATATTAATATATTAAAGAGCGCAAATGGTATAAAAACATTTTAATTGGGAGAGATCTTTTTTGTATTTAGCTTTTAGGATTTTAAAATCAATCTTTCATTAAGTTTTATTTTCCTGATCATTTCATAGTAAAAAATAATTTAGTCAAGAAAGATATCTCCTTTATTTACCTTTCAGGATTTTACAATCACTCTTCCATTAACTTTTGTTTTCCGGATAACTTAATAATAAAAAGTATTTTAATCAGGAAAGACATCTTCATTCGGCTTTCAGGATTTTACAATTAATCTTTTGTTATATTTTGTTTTCCTGATAATTTTACGTTTGATTTTTGTTGAAAAAAGAAAATTAAGCTATCATAAAAATTTTCCAATTTTTATTGAAAAATTTTTATTTTAATTTAGTCGAATTTTTCTTTGAATGAAAAAGATATAATTGAAATTGTTATTTACAGCTGAGAAACTTATCTGAAAAGCACTTCATTTCAGTTACCATAATGAATGTAATAATTTGAATTACTTTATCAAATATGATTTTTGATTATTATTTTTCTATGCTAATGCTAATCAAAAAATTAACCAACTCTCTGTGAAACATAAAAATTATCCGTTGCACATTTGCTTGTAATATATTTTTAAGTTCAAAATTAACTATTTACATGACAGTTCAAAATGATCACAACAATGCCGTCCTCCAAAATTGTCAATGTCAAAAATTTAAAAAATCCTTTCTAAACCATACTGTAGTAAAATTCGTATACAATCGAAGCAATAAATGAAATTATGATTGAGTTTTGATTATTTTTGAAATGATTAAATTTTCAATATTACTTTTAAAACAATTTAAGTATCAGATATAATAATAAAAAAGTGATAATATCACATTGCTCGTACAAATAATCCTATCTATATACTATAAAAGAGTTCAAAGCATAATCGAATATTAACATAACAATATTTTGCTCATTCCATTATGGCGGAAAATGTTCAAGCAATTAATCGGCTAAGCTATATTACATTTCATTAACTAATTAGCCAATCAGTTTTTTTTTCGTTTACATATTTAATTCTGGAAATTTTTCTTTTTTACGTTTTTTCCGGTCATGGGATTTCACGGTTTCTATTCCGTTTACAATCTGTCTTATCTATTAAGGAAATGCTCTTTTTCCGTTTTTGATATATTTGGTTACAGTTGTCATGAATAGTAATAATACTAACAAAATTTCATGTTTGAATAATATCATTTACTGATAAAATTATTCAAATAATTACGGATAAACAAAAATTGAGCTTTGAAGCATTTCCAACTTTATTTAAACTTCTTCCATTTAAGTTCATCAATGATATTATAATTAAGTTTTGATTATATTTAAGTTTTAATTTAGTTATTTTAAAACTTAAAACATAATCTGAATATTTATAATAAAATTGTTAGTTAAAAAAATTTTAATTTTAGCTTTTTATATATTCTGAATAATTAACTCTTAAGAATTATTTCATTTTAGCACAAATTTTGAAAAGAATAATTTAACTTGAATTTATTTAAATAAAATACTTTTGTAATAGCTTTTGCTTGTTAATTATTACAAATAGCGCAAATGTCAACGCTATTTGCAATCAATGATTATAATACAATAATAATTGGAAGAACAAATTATTAATAATTTCAAATCTATATTTAATTAATTTTATATTATCATAAAAATTTCATTTTATTATTTTATATTTTATAATTGTTGCATTTATAAACTATGAAAGGAAAGAAAATTTTTTTTTCAAACGAATAATAAATAAAAGAGCGAATGAAAAAAGAACATTTTGCATTTTTAATGATTGATTTTAGTTAAAAATTTAAATTCAAAAAAATATGCATATTTTGTGATATCCCAACAGAGCAATTCACATTTGACTAAAAAAATAATGATAATAGCTGATTATAACTGATAACGATGGGATTGTAAGCTATCCCAATGGATGAATAAACATTGATAAATTGTTTTTTTTGCTCTTTAATTTTTTTAAAGAAAAGTTTTTTTGTGAGATATCTCTTCCACTTTTAAACTAAAATATTTGACAAGTTTATGTATAATTTTAAATTTCGACTTTATCAATTGTTTTGCTACAAATATTCAGTTATTTAATGAAATAAAAAATGATCAAATATTAGCAACAAACATATGATCAGAAGCTATTTATGTGATTATGTAAATTTTATATTTCATTATATTCGGTTCAGACAACAGATTAATGCTAATATGAAATTTGAGGCAGAGATATAGGATCAGGCTAAAAAGACCAGAAATTATCAGCATCATATTCACAGATTTCATATGATAGAATAATCTGCGTTAGATAATTTATGTTAGCCTATTCTAACGGGCTTATAATTCTTAACAGGTAAGCTGTAGGTAAAGGCATTCGTAGAGAAAAATTTAAGCACACATTAAAATACCGTAACAAGCACTTCATTGAGCTTCAAAACTAATTGTCAACCTTAATTTTCACTTGTATTAATACAAGTTATTTAATAATGAATGATAGTGAAGCAATTTCTCACTACGAAAATAATTAATAAATAAGAATTAATCAATATTTAGTAGTCGTAAAAATTTTCTACCATTCACATAGTTATAATACTTTCAAACGTGAAAATGGAAAATTAACGGTTGTACGTGTCTTTTATGACGTACGTAAATCATATTAAAATATATTTAATCATACCATTCTGATTAATGCATTCTATTAATGAGTTAAATTAATTTTTACTTTTATATATTATTGAAGGGAATTTTTGATGGATATTTTATATTATTTCAAAAATGAAGGTTTATTTATGGATTAAATTATTTTATTTCAGTTATTATGTATAACAGCTCTTCCAATAACACCTGTATTAGCATTCGTGAAACGTTGGTTATTTGGTTCATTGTTATGTAAATTGGTACCATTATGTCAAGGAATTTCTGGTAACCTCTTTTTTTCTTTATTTCTATAATTTCAATATAAAGTTCAGTGGGTTTTTTCACAGCTGCCTTACTGAATTTACGTAAAATTGGATGAAAACTTTACGTGAAATTGGATGAGAGTTTTACGTGAAATTGAACAAAAACTTTGCGATAACTATTCTCTATTGTTTGAACTATCCAAAGTGTCGTATAATTTAGGATAGAAATAAATTTTTACTTTCAAATATCAAAACAATATTTTTAACTGCCAAGTAAATTAGTTCCTTTCTTTAATGAGTGAAAAATTTCAGTTTTAATATCAAGCTATTGCTTGTGCTTCATTGCTGTTGATCGATATCGTAGTATTGTTATGCCAACTCGAGAGCCATGGACAACATTTCATGCGTATTTATTAATGGCTATGTCTTGGTTTACTTCAGCTACCGTTTCATTACCACTTTTTATCACCCAACAATTGCAACCATTGGTGCTTGAAAATACAACACTTTGTGGTTATGTAAATTAATTTTTTAATTTCAAATGAAATTCAAACAAAACTTAATGGAAGATCTATCATACATTGTCATAATTTATTATTAGCTATCATCACTGATCATTTATTATCAAAATAATTAACTGATTTAATTGCAAAGCAAAATAATTACTATTTAAATTATGCATTTATTTTAAAATTAAAATTATTTTCTATTGCTAATTAATTATAAAAAATATTATTTTCTATTGCTAATTAATTATAAAAAATTTTCGAAAATGTTTTAAAATTTAAAAAATTGAAAAATTCAAAAATGAAGCGGTATATTTTTGACTTTTTAGTTTTGTGGTGAATATAATTGGCCAGCCGATAATCGTATTAAACTATTTTATGGTTCTATGCTACTTTTTTGTCAATACCTCATTCCGGTAACCATTATGACATTTTGCTATTGGAAGATTTTACAGAAGGTTTTGTTTCTTTTTACTCGAATTCTGATTATTTTATTTTTAAATTAATATTTTAATTAATTAATTTTGTCAGTATTTTATTGTCTATTTTAAAAAATATTATATAGCAAGAAAATAAATTTTCATTTCTTCTAATGAATTTTAGTAATCTAGAACTTTCTAGAAATTTCATGCGTAAATTATAGTAAAAGAATTTTTTAAGGTTCGAGCTGATTGGATTGTGGCTCAGCATTCGATGTTAACTGAGGCCCAGCAAGCTCAAACAGCTGTTCGAAAACGACGGGTAATGTATGTATTAATATTAATGGTGGTTGTATTCATGGCATCATGGCTTCCATTAACCATTGTTAATATTTTCCGCGATTTTGGAATAGGTAGAAATTTTTATTTTACACAAAACATTTAGTCTTTATGGTTTAGTAGGAATATAATTCATTTTAATGTTTAATTCGTGCAAATCTTTCCTTTTGGATATCTAAAATACATAAGTTAAAATGAAATTTCTTTTATTCAGTAATATCTGAAATAATTTCTCTTTGTAAAAAAGAAAAAATACTATTAGTAAAATTTAATTTGAGAGAATAAAAAAAAGTTAATCAATGTTAATGATATTAATTAATGAATTTTGGTAATTAATTCTATTAAGAGAATAAAAAAATGTTAAAGTTGAAAATAATTCAATATTAACGATATTAATTAACGAATTTTGGTAATCAATTCTATTAAGAGAATAAAAAAAGCTAAAATTGAAAAACAATTCAATATCAGCGATACTAATTAATGAATTTCGTAATTAATTCAATTACAATTATTATTACTTTTCAATTGAAAAGTGTAATTGTTCGTTTTAAAAAAGAAATAAAATATTCTAAATTTTAGGACTAAACTATTCATTTGTGTTTTAATGAAAATAATTGAAATTGAAAAATTTAAATATTTTTTATTTTATAATTTAAAATTAATAATAAATTTAGAATTTATTAAAAAAACAACCAAAAATATTTATATTTTGCAATTTAAATAAAAATTTGTTTAAAAATTTTGCACTTTTTTGAATTTTATAATAATTATACGAAGAAAAGAGAAAGAAAACGAATAAAAAATTATTTTCCTTTCGAAATTTTACATTTTACATAATTTATATAATTTTTTTCGATTCGTTTTTTTATTTCAAATAAATAAAATGCCTAAATTTTAGGCTATGAAAAAGCTTTCTGTTTTCTTTCAATGAATGAAAGATTTGTTCTAAGAGAAGAGAAAAGAGAGAAGAAAAGATGGACGATATCAATTTTGATTTTAATTTTGAATTTAATTGAGTAAAAACTTTTTTAATTATATAAAATAATTTTAGAGGCATTTTTGGGTATACAAATGTATTTCAAATTGCTCAATGTTCATGCAATAGCAATGACTTCAATTGTTTGGAATCCATTATTATACTTTTGGATGAATAAGGTTTCATTTTAATTTAATTAAAAAAAGAAAAAGGAAGAAAGAATTTTTGAAATTATCAATTCATACCATTTCATATCACCTCATATCATATCATTTCATATCATTCTTCTTTTCCTTTTTAAAAATCAATTTCTTTTTTTACACAAAAAATGCTGGCAACAAAAAAAAGACCTAAAAATAAACACATCGATAAATTAGGTAGAAGATTAGTTTAATTAGTTTTAATAAAATTTAATTTTTGAGGTGTGTGCTGAAGAAATTTAAATGAAGAAAAAGGAATCTAAAGCCAAGAATGCTATGTTACAGTTTGCACCAGTAATCTGTGAACAAGGTCCAAGTGCACCATCATCACCTACAAGTCCAGGAGGTTCAC